ATGTGTGACTAGTTGTATTCTTATAAAATAGATATAATACTATAACTATTTGAATAAAGCTGTTTGTTAGTTATTATATTATACTATACTATAATTGGAAAACAATAATTAAGAATTTTGTTAAAAAGAAAAAAAAAATTTTAGTAAAATTATCGTTAAGTATGTCTCATTATGGTGGCAAACCCAGACACCGTTTAAGTAAATACTTCATAGTTTTAGACGAAAAAATAAATAGTACTAATAAGGCAGCTGTCTGCAAATATTGTGTTGAATAATATAAATATCAGCAAGCACTTTTAACAAGCAAAGTCACAAATGTTGTAAACTCTTGTTTGGCTCATCTTCATAAATGCACACATTTTGCAAATAAATATTCAGCTAAAGAAGTTGATCGAATTCTTATTTTAATAGCTAAATTAAAAAAACAAACCAATTTGTCAAAAAGAATTCGATATAAAAATGACTTACCAGAAGATGATGATAATAGATTAGTTCGATCACTTACAACTAACTCAAGTTCAACAACCAATTTAGAACCAAAAGTAACTTCTAGTTTAATATGACAATTAAATAAAAAAGATTAGCAAATATTTAATACATTACTTCTTCATATAATAGTATCAAATGGTTGGGCATTTAGATGGGTGGAAAATCCAGAGACTAAAGCACTTTTTTCATGGCTTAATTTACATTTACCAAATTATCAAGCATTGTCAAATCGGATTTTAAAAGATTCTACAAAAGAAGTAACACAAGCTCAAATTTCAATGGCATAGCAAGATTTACAAGGTGTAACTGCAGCTTTTAATGGGTGGAAAAATATAATTAAACAAAAATTAATAGGCATAGTATTTCTTATATCTAAAGCAGAAATATTAGTATAGAGCATTGAAAATATTAGTCTTTCAAGAGAACAGACAGAAGAAGCGATTGCTCATTATGGAAAACTTCTTAAAAAAGCCAAAAATCAAAATATAAAAATAATTGCCTTTGTTACTGATTCAGCGTCAGAAAATACAGCAGCAAGGTTAGTTTATTTTTTTTTTTTTTTTCAGTATTAAGGTGACCTCCTTGGCCTGGGAACTT